TTTATAGTCTAAATTTTTCATTCCATGTTTTGCTTGACCCCCTCCACAAACATCTTTGAGAAGCCGTTGTTCTCAGATTTTGTGAATTCAAACCAGTTCCCCAAAGCACACGGAAGACAGGTTCCAGCTAGTGTATTTAAAGAGCAAGACCTCCTAGCCAAGGTGGGTCCGGTCCTTTCAGCCACAGGTATCATTTCAAAGTTTCTCCTGAAAGAGTTCCGAGGGTCCCTCACCGGTGTGTGTCGGGTAGAATTTGGCATTCACCAACCCCCCCACCCCCCGTAACCCTTTGTTCTTACTCTGCAAATGTTCCGCTCAGGGCCGAGGGTAGCTAAGGTGTGTACTGTTGGTAGACCAGTGGTTCCTAAGCTCAGCTCATCACTCCGAAAACCCGCAGGTGGCTGAATGGTGGAGTTTTTATCCTATTTTGGGCCATAGACTTAGAATTTAAGCTATATTTTCTCTCAAACCTCTTTTTCCCAAGAATCCCCTTTGTACATCGTTAAATAACCACCACTACCACCAGCACCCCTTGATCACAGGTGGCTTCCTGGTGGGAGGACCCCGCGACCCCTCAAACCCCACCGACCAGGCATTGGCCTCGTTGCTAAGCGAGTTCAGTTAGGGCAGAGGGCAGGTTGGGGTAAACCAGCAGTCCCCACAGCTGAGAACCACCCTAGCAGCTGGGAAGATCCCAGTGTGGATCGTCTCTGTGCCTTTAAATTTTCTGTGACCGTAAGACCCGGAAGAAAAATGGGCTTTCATGATTTCTGCTGCATCTTCCGAACCCAGGTGTAGGTGTGCGCCCGTGTGCATGCACGCCCTTCACACGGAAGTGCGCACACCTTCTCGTGGTGCTGTGCATGGCAACTTCAGCTGCGATCTGTATTGCTGCTATGGCTTGTGTCTGGATGTCCCCCAAGGCCTCATGCGGTCATAGGCGGGGTGAGGTGGCCGGATCTAGAGTGTGTGACCCTGGGGCTGATTCATGGTGCAGTGCTAGGCTCAAGGGCGCTAGGATTAAGGCTGTGAGTGCTGCCCGCCCGGAGGTGCCTGGGTAAGATGTACGAGACAGAAAGAGCTGTGGTTGCCCCTAGCTTGTTGCTTTGCTACCTTCTGCCTGCCATGAACTGTTTCTTTCCTGCGATGCCACTCTGCCTTGGAGCCAGCCGATCAGGGACTGGAAGCTCTACAAACTGTGAGTTAAGTAAACCTTTCCTCCTTTAACTTTGGGTGTCAGGTATTTGTCTCAGCAAGGAGAGAAAAGTAACCAAGATAATCTTGATAGTCTATTTTGGGGAGATTCCAGGGATTTCCAGGTATCTCAGTTTCTTTATTACCCGACACACCTAAGAATCCATCCCCTAGCAGCGGGTTGTGGTGGCGCACACCTGTAATCCCAGCACTCGGAGGCTGAGGCAGGAGGATCCTTGCAAGTTCGAGACCAGCCTGGGCTACAAAGTGAGCTCAAGGCCAGCCTGAACTGCACAGCGAGACCCTGTCTCAAAAACACACACACAAAAGAATCCGTCCCCTGCATAAAACGTCTGTGAGGGCGCCCGGACACGCTTGTCCCAGGTGGGGGGAACTAAGCCCAGGATTTTACTAGATGAGTAACAGGTGTGAAATGTTGTCAGAAGGTACTTCCCTTTGACAGCTGAACTGAGCCGTAAAATTTTCTAATAATTTGCACAAGTCTTCGGGAGTCCAGATATAAGCTGCTAATCCAGGGCTCAGAATGCCCTAGTGTTGATTTCACAGTGAAATGCTTCAACTTAATTTTTTATTGTGTCTCTTATCTTTGGCCCCGGTGAAAATATTCAGATTGCCCCATAAGTCAAAATTAATTTAGTCAACTATTATCCGTGGATTTAACATCTTCTGTTGGCTTTTAAGTAGAATCCGCGTTTATCATAAGCATATGTTTCCATTTATATTTTAAAATATTACAAGATGGCCAAGGCTAGGGTGAAGAAACTCTTAAAACATCTTTAATTTCAGTTTAGCTGCTAGGTTTGCACACCCTTCGTTTAAACTGGCGCTTTCCTCTTCAGAAAAAGAAAAGCACAGCAACATGTGGTTTGTTATATTCGTTGCTCTTCTTGGCCTGTTTTGCATTAGGGGGTTATGGAAATCTAAAAGCTCCATAAGGAAAAACCTTACAGGGAAGGAAAGAAATAGAGAAAAGACATGTGAGACGGTTCTTTTTCCCCATCTGCCTTAAAAATACATTCTAGCATAAAGCATGGGCTCTTTGTTGCTGGAAGTAAAAGAAGCAGAGAAGCAAATAACTTTTTAAAAATCTTGCCTAATAAGAACACCAGTTAAAGCCGGGCATGGCAGCATACAGCTGTAATCCCAGCACTCGGGAGGCTGAGGCAGGAGGATCGTTGCAAGTTCGAGACCAGCCTGGGCTACAAAATGAGCTCAAGGCCCGCCTGAACTGTATAGCGAGACCCTGTCTCAAAAAGACAAAGAAAAAAAAAAAAAGAACACCAGTTAAACAGGGCCTGTAGTCCCCTTAAGAACTATCTAAGACATAAAACCATCTAAAAAATTCAGAAAACTATAAATACCCATTCAGTCCCAGGCCATTCGGTACATTAGCCTTTGGTTCCTGCACTGCTGCAGACAAGAGCTGGCCCGGCAGGCGGGGCTGCTACCCAGGGAGGGCCATAGCTGCCCCCCCTCAGCAGGCTTCTGGGGCCCCAGCCCATATTCTCCTGTTGCTCCTAGCAGTGTCGATGGTGATAGAAAATGTTTAGCTCGAGGTGCACAGAAAGTTCGGGGTCCTGATAAGAGACTAGTGTTCCCTTAAGTTCTTTTTTCTCTCATAGTTCCATTGTAAATTAAATTCATTGCAACCTAGCACCAGCATGGTAATGCCTAGATGTCCCCATGATAGGCTTTCAAGGCCCGAAATACTTACGTAGAGGATCGTCATGTCTGTGCTGCATAAGAAACAGGCCTTTTCCTGTAGATTCGAGTTTGCGTGACGGTATTAAAAAGTGCGGCACTTCACAGAAAGCGCTCTTAGGAATGAGTCACACAGTAGGGCAAGGCATGTTAAAGGTTTTGTAAAGGCAAAAAGGTGCTTCTTCTACAAGCTGCTTGGGCAGGATTCTGGCCTCCTCTCTTAGTGAAGGCTCTGTTTGTAAAGGTTGTTAAACCCCATTGTTCGATTCTTTAAATAACTTTGACCTCTCAGAGTGTAAAGATGCAAGAGCCCACAAGAGTACTGCCTAAGTGATACTTCCAGCAGCTGGGTTCAGTGGTACACAGCTGCAAGTCCAGCTAGTCAGAGGTGGAGAGGCAGGAGGACTGCAAGTTCGAGGCCAGCCCGGACGACTTCGCCAGACCCTGTCTCAAAAATAAAGCAGAGCCGGACTTGGTGGCTCATGCCTGTAATCCCAGCACGGGAGGCTGAGGCAGGAGGATTGTTGTGAGTTCGAGACCAGCCTGGGCTACAAAATGAGCTCCAGGCCAGCCTGAACTGCACAGCAAGACCTTGCCTCAAAAAGACCCAAAAAAAAAAAAAAAAAAAAAAAAAAAAAGAGTAGGGCTGAGGCTCAGCAAAAATAACAGTAATGAAACACTGAGTCCTCACCAAATTGCTTCCACCTCCCAGATAACACTTTTCTAAAAGGCAGAGGCTGACGGTGAAGCACCGCGGTGGAGCGCTGCCTGTCTTGTGCGCGGGCCTGGATTCCACCTCAGCACCAAGGGGAAGAAGGGAAAGTAAGCATTTTAGAGATTTCCTGGAGAGAAGCAAAAGGCTTCAGAAATGGTTGAAAATGGAAGCATGATCTGCGCTATCATGAAGCGATAATGCAACGAGCAGGATCATACTGAAGTTAGAGTTGGTGTTAAGTAAAAATGTTCCTGTCCGAAAGGAAGGGGTGGTCTCTGCAAACCCACGTGCTGCCGTCCCGCAGTCTCGCGGTATTTGACCTCATCTGCGGCCATTGTTGTTGGAAGACATCTTGGTCGAATTGGCCAGAAGTGCTGCTAGGCAGGTTACTAATGCTAACGCCTTTTTTGTTGTTGTTGTTGCAACTGAACTGAAAGATGATAGTGTTTTAAAAAGCAGAAAGAGTGTTACGGCCCTGTGAGTTGGGCCGTAATGTTTTGTCAGACAAACTCGCTCATGGCCACCTTACCTGAGTGCCCTCTGCCTTGCGGAGGTCGGGTGAGGTCTGGTCAGTGCAGCGGGTTGCACGCAGACCCTAACCTGAGCGAGCCACGGGGTCGGCCCCGGGGCACGTGGAAGGGCTGGATGGGCTGCTGGATGGGTGCGTTAGCGTCTGAGACGGGGTGAGACCTTCCTTGAGTGCGAGGTTAGCACGTAGTGACACGGGGCAGAGCAGTAGGCAACAGAACGACTATTGTGTGCAGATCTCCAGGACAGGCCCATTTTGTTGTATTTGGACAATAAAGTGATTTTTGTGTCTGTAGAGATGGAAATGGTACCATGAACTGCTTCAGAAAGCTCAGGATCTCATTTGTCTGAATTTCTCCAGGGCAAGGGAGGTGCAGGGGGGTGGGGGGCCCTCACATTTTTGCCTCTGGCCGCACAAATCGGTGATGCCACAAACCCGCAAAGTTGATCTAACATCACTGAGTCACCTAAGCAAGATGGACAGCCATTTCTGGCTAAAGATTATGGTATTAAAATTTTTAGATTATTCTCCTACATTCCAGTGATTTTGTGATGAGAAAGCTAAGGGAAACAAAACATTTTATCTTAGGTGTTTATGCAAAGCTCATCTTTAAAAACTAATAAACAGTAGCTCAAGAGTATATGAGGGGCTGGAGATTTAGCTCAGCGGCACAGCGCCTGCCTGGCAAGCACAAGGTCAGGAGTTCCATTCCTGGTACCACAGAAAAACCAAAAAAAAAAAAAAAAAAGTATATGAGAGTCAGGGGTGGCAGCACATGCCTATAATCCCAGCACTTGGGAGGCTGAGGCAGGAGGATCTGTGAGGTCAAGGCCAGCCTGGGCTACTTAGTGAGACCCGATTTCAAAAAAAGAAAAAAGTGAATATAGGAAAATAAAACACAACAAAGAGTATGTAGGCTGTGAAGTTAGACCCAGATCTGATCCTGGCGTCTCTACTCACTAGCTGACCTCTTCGGACAGTAGATTCCTCATTTGTAAAATGCGGGGCAGAAAGGGCGGGCAGAGGGGATAAGGACACGTGTGTCACACGCGTGTGGGAAGCTGCGAGAATGAAACCCCACAGTCCACATGACCAGTGTGCACTGACAAAAGCCGACGCGGAAGAGCCGGGAGAACAGGGTCGACCTCACGTTGTCAAGGACGTTAGCACGGAGCGCGGCACCCACTACGCAGAGGCCTCGGCCGCCCGCCAGCTCCTGCTCACCGCGTGTCCCGAGGCGAGGGCGCCAGGGGTCTGCGGCTCGCGGGCGTACTCCTCCGGTAACGTCCCCGCCCCTGCTGCTGCCCGGGCTGGTGGGGAGGCTTGGGGCGCTGGGCGCCCGGGC